GGACAGTTGGCAGGCAGTAAAAATTCGACTTGTAAGCGGGTTGCAATTCAGCTTAGTTAGGTGCTAGGGTTAATATTGTTTCCCAGGTCTTTTGCTTGGTAGGCTTTTTGTGTCTGACCTACTGATCCTGTGGATATAAAAAAGGCCAGTGGTCTGGAGAGAGCGCACACATGTATGCCTTGGGATGATCTCTCCTGCTCTGATGAATTGCTGCTCGACATTGGGATTGCCTGCTGTAAGGAATTTGCGATCATGTAGGGGAACCACTGGGACCCGAGGTCCTCTCCAAAGACACCATCTGGCCGATACATACAGTCAGGTTCATAAATATTGGGACATCAACACAATTCTATACACCACCACAATAGATTTGAAATGAAACGAACAAGAGGTGCTTTAACTGCAGACTGTCAGCTTTAATTTGAGGGTATTTACATCCAAATCAGGTGAACGGTGTAGGAATTACAACAGTTTGCATATGTGCCTCCCACTTGTTAAGGGACCAAAAGTAATGGGACAGAATAATCATAAATCAAACTTTCACTTTTTAATACTTGGTTGCAAATCCTTTGCAGTCAATTACAGCTTGAAGTCTGGAACGCATAGACATCACCAGACGCTGGGTTTCATCCTTGGTGATGCTCTGCCAGGTCTCTACTGGAACTGTCTTCAGTTCCTGCTTGTTCTTGGAGCATTTTCCCTTCAGTTTTGTCTTCAGCAAGTGAAATGCATGCTCAATCGGATTCAGGTCAGGTGATTGACTTGGCCATTGCATAACATTCCACTTCTTTCCCTTAAAAAACCCTTTGGTTGCTTTTGCAGTATGCTTTGGGTCATTGTCCATCTGCACTGTGGAGCGGCGTCCAATGAGTTGTGAAGCATTTGGCTGAATATGAGCAGACAATATTGCCCGAAACACTTCAGCATTCATCCTGCTGCTTTTGTCAGCAGTCACATCATCAATAAATACAAGAGAACCAGTTCCATTGCCAGCCATACATGCCCACGCCATGACACTACCACCACCATGCTTCACGGATGAGGTGGTATGCTTAGGATCATGAGCAGTTCCTTTCCTTCTCCATACTCTTCTCTTCCCATCACTCTGGTACAAGTTGATCTTGGTCTCATCTGTCCATAGGATGTTGTTCCAGAACTGTGAAGGCTTTTTTAGATGTCATTTGGCAAACTCTAATCTGGTCTTCCTGTTTTTGAGGCTCACCAATGGTTTCCATCTTGTGGTGAACCCTCTGTATTCACTCTGGTGAAGTCTTCTCTTGATTGTTGACTTTGACAGACATACACCTACCTCCTGGAGAGTGTTCTTGATCTGGCCAACTGTTGTGAAGGGTGTTTTCTTCACCAGGGAAAGAATTCTTCGGTCATCCACCACAGTTGTTTTCCGTGGTCTTCCGGGTCTTTTGGTGTTGCTGAGCTCACCGGTGCGTTCCTTCTTTTTAAGAATGTTCCAACCAGTTGTTTTGGCCACGCCTAATGTTTTTGCTATCTCTCTGATGGGTTTGTTTTGTTTTTTCAGCCTAATGATGGCTTGCTTCACTGATAGTGACAGCTCTTTGGATCTCATCTTGAGAGTTGACAGCAACAGATTCCAAATGCAAATAGCACACTTGAAATGAACTCTGGACCTTTTATCTGCTCATTGTAATTGGGATAATGAGGGAATAACACACACCTGGCCATGGAACAGCTGAGAAGCCAATTGTCCCATTACTTTTGGTTCCTTAACAAGTGGGAGGCACATATGCAAACTGTTGTAATTCCTACGCCGTTCACCTGATTTGGATGTAAATGCCCTCAAATTAAAGCTGACAGTCTGCAGTTAAAGCACATCTTGTTCGTTTCATTTCAAATCCATTGTGGTGTTGTATAGAGCCAAAAATGTTAGAATTGTGTCGATGTCCCAATATTTATGGACCTGACTGTATGTACTGCCATTTATGGACTCTGCCTTTGCAGGTATGTCGGGGCAGCACACAAGTCTGAGTTAAGCATTAGGGACAAACGGTTACTTGTGCTTGGACTCAAAACTTGTAATGTTTTGGCACTTTTCTAAGTAAAAGTTGAAACTTTGCTTGTTGCCTGGTCTGAGGTTATTAAAGAAATGTAATACAAGTAACTGACACCACACATAGTCTCCCGCTTGGGTCATTATGACATTGGGGTATGCAGACCGCAAATGGTTACCAGCGGTAATGAAAGCCAGCAGCCAGTCAAGCAACTTGTGTCAGGTGGGACAGCCTCCAACAGTGAGTGACATGTTTTCAGCCCTCCTTCCGCAGTGGTCTGTCTCTCATAGTAACAGGAGCAGATTGGCACCACCGAGGTCCTCCGCCTGTGTAGAGGTACGGGAAGTCAAGCATTAAGTCAAGTGCACGCAAGGAGCCTACACTAGTTGTACTGCGGGGTTCCATTCCGCTGCTAGAAGTGAAGTAGTTGAGATACGCTGGACAGGTGGAGTGGGTATAGGCTCAGTGTGTCCCTCCTAATTGCAACAAATTACAATGAAAGTGTACATTGACATAGGGCCCCAAGATTTTACCACAGGACAGTTACTGCTCAACTGTACACAGTATATGGCCATCTCTAAAGTGAAGGCTTTCCTTAAGGTTGAATATTTACTGGCAGCCTTGTCCCTGGGCATTGATGGAATCGGCACAAGTAGAGTTACCCTGAGTGCGAGGCAAGTGACCCTGTTGTAGGTGCCTAGCATAGGAGAACCCACCCTGGGGGCAGTCCTCTTATGTGACCCAGACTTGACACCCAACAAGTTAATAGGAAAACATGGAGGAAAGGTCCATCACCATCAGCTGCCCCTACAGACTCAACTACGTGTTTTTTAAGTTTTGTAAGTCGATATTGGCTCCTCTGTTATCTTATCCAGCCTCTCAAATGGTCAGTCAGGCTGCCTATAAGAGAAATATTCACTTTTTTAAACAAAAAAAACCTGTATTAAAAATAGAAAAACATTTGATTCATTTATTGTATTTGAGCCTTCAAAGCATTGCAGCTACTATCAGTGGATCATAGGAGCAGTTCACAGACTCTTGTAGACCATTCCCCATGCTCCAGGTCTGTACTGAGGTATGGACCTTCATTTATGGAGCTGGAGGAAGTATCCGTGAACTATGGGTGAGGTGACATCACAACACGTGTGCTTCATTGAGGTCTATGAGTTCCTCCTCTGCAAGGACTTGTAGTATCTTCATTCACAGATCTCTCTGAATGGATGATATGGCTGTGTGGGCGCATGCACACACACATTCGCACTCATTTCAAAATTCAACAGAAGCTTGTAGGGAGAAGAACCCCACAATTTAAAGCAGAGTTCCACCTAAAAAAAAATAAAAAATAAAAAAAAAAAAGTCAGCAGCTACAAAAACTGTAGCTGCTAACTTTTAAAATACAGACATACACCTGTCCCTCGGTCCATGTCTTTACCATGGCTGGTTTCACCGGAGGACAACTTCCGATCGCCTAGGCCAGGGGTAGGCAACCTGCGGCTCTCTAGCTGTTGTGGAAATACATTTCCCATGAGGCATTGCAACATTACAAAACTGACAGTTACAGCTATGACTTGCAGAGGCATGATGGAACTTGTAGTCCTGCAATAGCTGGAGAGCTGCAGGTTGCCTACCCCTGGCCTAGGCGATCGCAGCGGAAATGGGAGTGGGTACCAGTCAAATTCGGGTAGCTGCTCCCCAAAGGTGCCAGTCCTTAATGGGGAGCGGGGGGACAAAGGCTTAAAGTGGAACTTCCCCTTTAGGGTGGAGCTCCACAATTTAATAGGTGGGTGGTGTAACAATACATGCTTTGAAAGGTGGAGTTAGCCCTTAGACCAGAACTAAACCTCTCAATTTAAAACTGGAAAACTGTTAATTTCCTGGCATGCTGTAAATAACTGTCACACTTGCATTTGCTCTCAATTGAACTGTCAAGCCATCAAATGGCTGGAGTCCTGCTTGATCACATGTGCATCACCATGGCAACTGCAGATCAAACCGAGGCTAAGATGGCAGCTTCCTTGGCTGTAAAGTATAGAAGGGTTTAGTTCCGCTTTAGGAAACTAATTGAGGAAACTGGAGGCAGGGGGGAGGGAGGAGTATAAAAAATCAGCATTTACTTTTGAGTGGAACCCAAGTTCTGCTATGATACACTGTGGGTGGGCAGGCATTTTACTGCAATGTCTGTTCTGCAATAAAACATACCTAGCCGCCTGCTCACAGCAATCCCCAGACTGTTAACTGAGCTGCACATGCGCAACTCTGGTTACAGTGGCTGGGCCAATCCTGTGTGCCGGGATGACCACCTCCTGTGCATGAGCAGAAGTGACGTCATCACACGCTAGCCAATAAAGATGGCTGAAATCCAGCACACAGGAGACGATGACTGGGATAGGAAGGTAGGTAATCCCCCCTATAGTTCCACTTTAAAAACGGCAAGTTGTGCATATATTTTGACCAGTGGCGTCCCTAGGAAGGTGCGGTTGGTGCACGCCACACCGGGTGACACCTACCGCACGGGTTGACACCGGACCCGCTCCACGAAAAGGTAAGTTGTAAAGCAAGCAGATGATCCCCGCAGGATCGGAGTCTGATCCATTATGCTCAATCTGTAGATCCGATCCATGCTGCAGGGATCATCGGAGGGGGTGTCACCAAGTGTTGCCACCAACCCTAGGGACGCCCATGGTTTTGACATACCATTTTAAAAGTAACTTTAGATTTCAATTGTCCAGGCTTGTCAGATGTTTACTTTTTTTTTTTTGTCCCCAGATTGTGCAGTTTGCACTTATAAAAAGCTGAAGAGCAAATTAGAAAATATAATTTTTGATTAAGTGGTCCTGATAGGTGAAGCATGCTTGCTATAGACTACAACATATTACTTTTTATACCAAGCTATAACATTTGTCCTTATGTTTATATGCCACCCAGATGTTCTGTTCTTAAGCTTACCACCAATTTATTTCATCCTTCTTTTAGCTGTCTTCCGTGTTCGATGTGCATCATACGCCGATTGTGAAAACCCCAACGGCAAAGGTCAGAAATTCTTCTGCCAAGCAGGCATCTGCCACATTCAGCATGCAAAAGGAGCCCTTGCCTGCATTCACTGGTAAGCGCCATCTTCATATTGTGTGCTATATAAAGGGAAGCCCTAATCGTTTTTCTTCTAGTATCTATTTGTTTGTTTGGTTTTCTTTGTTTTTTTAACTTTCCAAAATTATAAACTGATCTTTTAAACATACATTATATATTTATACAATCTTATACATTGTAGTAATTTGTGCATCCATGGCAGTTGACTTGCAGGTCATTCCAGGCTTTCTGAAAAGGAAGCCCAGTGCTACTTGCTCAGTTGTTGACTGACTTTGTCTAAATGAGTTATCATGTGTCCATCTGAGATTGTACAGCCTAAGGTCCCATTCACACGGGGTGGATTTTGTGAGGTTTTCAATTCAATCAGGAGAGGATCAGCTCACAGATCTGCTGATCGGAGCAGAGCGGGCGGATCACCCATCTATGTCTGCTCAGTTTATGCAGAGTGGACATGGACTTTATGGGTGGCTGACTCCGCTGTCCATTTACAACAAGCTACCCTCTCAGCCTAAACAGAGATGATTCTTTTCCTTTTTATTATTATTATTATTTTTTTTTTTTAAGCAGACCATATTGGAACCGTTTTTTTGCTGTAAGTGTTGAGCTCCCCATGATCTCAACAACTTCCAGAGCCTTCCTGTTGGCCAGTAAGGCTATGAAGCAACCAATATGATAACCCCCAAGGCAGGGTCAGATATAGATTTTAGGCCCTCTTCACATCTTGCGATTTGGGATCACTGAGATTCTGTCCGTGAACCGAAATGGCCAGGCGTGAATGGAACATTTTGACTTGGGGTTTTCTCTTAAGGTGATCTCCGTATTTTTTTCCATTGTATGCTTAGTTTGAACTACCCAACTTTGTGACATTTGCCCTTACACCAAAGGATTAGATTACTTTGTAGTTTGAAGACAAAAGCTTCACCTCCTGACTCACAAAGTAGAACAGTATGGAGTGCCTGGGGGTTTCCACTGTAGGGTTTGTTTGTCATAGAAATACTACTGACGTCAGCTAGGTATTGTGTGTTTCCGAAACATGACGTTTCCATATACTAATTAGTCTGTGATCAAAGGGAACCTGGACCTCCAGCACGTCCGTAATGGTAGACATTTGGCCAAATTATAGATTTCTGTGGTCATTGTAGAATGCCTGAAAATTCAGAGCCTCAAATTGACCTTTTAGTATTAAAAAAGTATTATGCTAAATGCACATCTTAAAAGCAGTGTGTTAATGCAGTGGGATGTACATCTATGCCTGCATAGTGAAAAGTAGCCCAAAACTTGGCCGGTTCCTCAGGGGCTGGCCGAGTTTAGATCCATGTATGGGCCCCCCGGATTATACAGAAAAACGTTTTCTCAATCAACTTCTGTACAACCAGGCAGTGGGATTGTTTTTTTTTTTCACTTGATCAGTACTGCTGGTTATATCCAGCAATACTGATCGTTGTATTCTGTTAGCAGGGAACTCTCCCTTCTGCCAGAATACAACCATTTCATGGGAGGGATTCCACCATCAACACGAAGTGTGTTGATGGGGGAATCTTATCTTTTTTTTTTTTTTATTTTGTTGTTGTTCAACCCACTGCACATGTCCATCTTTAGCAAGTCTTTCCAGAAACCCCCCTATGCAATTCTATATCCTCTGAATACTACAGATGATGGCAGCGGCTTGGGGAGGGGGGGGTTGGGGTTAGAGTTCTCCACACAAAACCTCTGGCACCTCATCCCCCCCAGCTAGAGAAGGTTAGCACACGTGCGCAGTTTGAACAGCCCAGAGGGGACGCTACTGAGCTCAGCTGTAGTGGGGAGAGCATACTACTTGGTGTTAACCACTTCCCGACCGGCCTTTGTATATAAACGGCCAGACGGTGGCAGTGCAGGGTCGGGTGGCTGTTTATAAACGGCCTCCCCGCACCCTGCTTGTGCGCGCTCCCTGGGAGCGCGCAGCACTGCGATCCGGTGCCCGCTATGTCCGGAGGACACAGCGAAACACCGATCGTCGGACGGGACCTCTGTACAAGGTCCCGATCATGTGATTACTGATTGGCCAATCAGTGATCACATGCAAAGTAGTAAGCAAGATGTCACTTGTGACATCATTGCTTACTACGTGTGAAATCTGTGAATGATCACAGAGGTCACATGGTACAAGGCTATTCACAACAGCCTTGTACCATGTGACAAGCTGTGACCAATCACAGCTCACTCAGTAGTTCTCAATGGCTGCAAGAATGCAGACAGAGAGAAAGAGAAATGATTACCTTTACATCCTATATGGGTGTAAAAGCAATCAGTGTAAAAAAAATAAAAAAAAAATCTTCATCACCCCCCAAAAGTAGTACAGTGTCACCATGGTGACTCTGTACTGCTAGGGTGACAGTATGTAAAAAAAAATAATAAAATAAATATAAAAATGTAAAAAATGTTTAAAAATTTATAATTTTTGTTTATAAACTAATTTGGCTTATTATTTTTTTTTTTACTAAAAAGATAAAGGAATAAATTTTGGCCAAGATTTATGATGAAATATTATTTATTTTCAAAATTTTTGGACATTTTCATTTACATAGCAAAAAAAAATAAAAATCCCAGCGGTGAATAAATACCACCAAAATAAAGTTTTATCGGTCTCAAAAAAATGGTAAAAAATTCATATGGGTAGAGTGTTGCATGACCGCGCAATTGTCATTCAAAGTGTGACAGCGCTGAAAGCTGAAAATTGCCCTGGTCAGGAAGGGGGTAAAAGTGTCCGGACTGGAAGTGGTTAAATATGAACAGAGGAGGAAAAACCCCAACATTTTGGAAAAGGGTTCCTGAAAAAGGGGTTTCCTACACCCTGAAACTTTGATAACTTTGGCTCAGCTATCCTTCTCATTATTCTATTCTAGGTCCTGAATTCCTGTATGTATTTTTGAATATCAGTTGCTATATGATTTGGTGGTGCTTACTATACCTATATACATCCATGTATTTTTGATGGTTGGTAAACTGTGGAGTGAATACCTTTGCTGTATCATGCTTGTTGCTGTATAACATACTTGGATATTTGTACCTATAATTGTATGTATGTATATTTCTAATGCAACTTTATTGCTAAAGCATTTTTTATGTGATGTGCTTACTCTATATGTTTAAAATGATTGTACTAACAGAGTGATATACTGTGGAGAGGTATAAGTACCCTAAAAAAACTATTGTTGGTTGCTGAATGGCGTAGATAATAGTGGTGTGCAGACCTTTTTTGCTAATATAACACTAATACCTAGTTAAAACAACAAAAACATTTAACTTGAGGCAGGCCGTAGATTATTTAGATTTCTTTCCATGGGTGGAAGGAAAGAAAATTGCTCAATTCCTCCATCAACACAGTATTGATGGGGGAATCCCTCTCACACTGCTGTTCTGCTCACAGAGAGGCTTCCCTGCTGCCCGACTACCATGATCAGTGTTGCCGGCTATATCTGGCAGCACCAATCGTTCAGTAGAAACGTGACAGGCTGGTTGTACAAAAGTTGATCGATAGATCGACGTGTGTACCTCTTGAGCGCCCATGCATGGTTCAGAATGCGGCCGGTTCCTGCTGAACTAGCCTAATTTTGATCCATGTATGGACAACTTAAGCCTGAACTCTTTTACCATTAATCTGACCTTAATATTTCACCTAATCCCTAGGCCCCTTTCACACGCTTATGCAGAGCAAACATGGATACAGCCTGCTGTCCTCTGGGCTGTCAGATGGAAATGGACTGCCTGTCCATTTCCATCCAACTGTCATCTGATCAGCCAGACAGAAGGGGAATGGATCCCCATCCATTTGTCTTTAGCAGACTGGATTGGTTCGGATACAGGCGGATGGAGCATCTGATCGGGTCCGTTTAAAAAAAACGAACAGGTGGACCTAATTGGTCCACTTGTGTGAAAGGGGCCTAATCCTAAACCTTGGCTTGACCATGCTTCTGTCACATTCAGTTGCTGAGTGGAGTGCAAGCAAGATAAGTATATGCTGCTGGGAAGGGAGACATTAAACTGAATATGTTGCTTTGCCCTTCAAAACCTTAACCCTTAAGTGGTTCTAAAGGCTTTTTTGCATGAAGGTAAAAAAAAACCTTTAGCCCTGGTTCACATATGTGTGTTTTTGAGATGCAATTTGTGAGTCTGAATTTTCAGGGGTAATGAATGTAATGTATTCCTATTGAGACTTCAAACGCTCATTGCATTTTAGTGAGAGTCCTGTGAGAGATTGAGACTGTGTTTTGAAGTTGTTTTCCATAGAGCTCAATGGGATGTATGCGAATTCCGTGCATTCTTTTGTGGTTTCCTATGGCAGACTCTTCAGTGCAAGGTACCTCATCCCAGAGAGAAAGGAAGAGAACCCCCCCCCCATACTTACCTGAGGCTGATCCAGCAATGTGCATGAGAGCGGTGGCTCTTCCAGGATTCTCTCTCCTCATTGGCTGAGACACAGCAGCGGGAACCATTGAGGAGGGAGTGAGGGGCTGGACTGAGCCACGCTCTGTGTCTCCCATAGACCCACAGAGGTGGCTTGGGAGTGAGCACACTTGGGGTCACTCGGCAAGGGGGAGGGACCCGAGAAGATCGGGCTGCTCTGTGCAAATCCACTGTACAGAGCAAGTAAGTATATGGTTTTTGTGGTTGTTTTTCTTCTTTTTTTTTTTTTTTTTTTTTTTTTAAAGAAAAAAGATAAACAAGCCTTTACAATCAGTTTCAAATGATCCCTTAACCTCCTGACCAAAAATCAACCTGAGAATAAACACTTAAAGGGTAAATGTGCTTGCAATAAAAGTTCACAAACTAATCCTCTAACCTATTTTATAAAAAAAAAAAAAAATAAACCACATACCAGCTGCTTACATACCTCAAGGTGATGGCTGTGGCATGCCCAGAGCAGCAGGTTATGTTTTTTCATCCTACCGACCCAAATCCTCTTCAGTACTGTGAGCTTTCATAATGCTTTTCTTAGAGGGCTTCTTCTTAAGAATTTCTGGTCAGTCAACCCAACTGAATTGCCCTCTGTGTGGCCAATTGCTTATCTTAACAGGTGTTAAGGGAATTCTGAGCCACTAAGAGATCCCTGTAGTGGCTAATTTACAAATCTCTATATGTAATACAGTAACAAAGTATGTACAGGCAAGTATATAAAAATTACTTATCGAAAATTACTTAAAGGTAAAAATGGCAGCCTAAATGTGCTTGTACTGAAAATGCATAGTATTTTTTTTTAAAATGGCACATTTTAATTCAGTTGTCTGGTGTTTGAAAATCTCCAGGTAATGATGATGCTCCAGTTCCACTCAAAGCTTCACTTGTGAGACTTCCTTCAGGACAGAAAGATCTTAACAGATCCAAACCGGTCCCTCCGATCGCCAAGAGCACCAAGTCGTTGCCAGAAATTAATTCTATTCCAGGTAGCTATGTTTGGGATAACCCCAAACCCACGGAGAAGAGCAGTGAAGAAGAGAACATTGCCATTGACCTCTTAGAATTGACTACTAGAGACGAGGACGATCGGGAAGAGGTTCGTGTTTAATAATACTTGATTTAATACTGCTGCTGAGTTTTTCCATTTCAAAAACATTCATGGGTCATCAGACCTAACATTTGGGCTTTTGACTTTCACCCTAGACATTTCATTAGCCAGTTCACCTATCACTTTTATGTGAGTTAAAGCATATTTCTACTTTAGGAGTCAAATTTAAGAAAACCCCATCTTATGCTCGATATATGTTCCTGTTCACATAACCAACCAAAAAAATAATTAGAATATTTGTTGCCTTTCTAGGTGTTTGGAGCAGGTATTGGGCAGACTGCAAGCTACTCTGAACAATTTGAAATAGGAGGAAATTAATTTGGTCCCAACTGACAAAAAAGGGACACTCTGAGTTTCTTTACCATAAAATGCTGAAGGCTAGCCTTTAGATCAGTGGTTCTCAACCTGTGGGTCGCGACCCCTTTGGGGGTTGAACGTCCCTTTCACAGGGGTCCCCTAACACCATCAGAAAACTCATATTTCCGATGTGTAAAGAGCAGCTACTGTGTAGAAAGCAGCTGCTGTGTTGAAAGCAGCTACTCTGTTAAAAGCAGCTACTGTGTTGAAAGCAGCAGTATTGGAGGTAAAACGACACTCATGAATTATAATTACTGGCTAAATAATTTTATGGTTGGGGGTCACCACAACATGAGGAACTGTATTAAAGGGTCACGGCATTAGGAAGGTTGAGAACCACTGCTTTAGATCTTTTAACTCTTTGTTAGGACAGACCGTGATCAAATCCAGTTTACAACTGATAATGAAATCTGCCAGCAAAGAACAGATGGGGATAAATATGGTAAACATGAATGCCCTAGCCTTCCCTGCATAGCAGAGTTTTGGCATTTTCAGAAAAGAACAAGTAAAATACAATCAGCAATTTTTTTGCTATGTAAATGGGAGCATGTAACAAATATAAAAGTAAAGGTGTTCTGATTTGGGTGCAAAAGTGGAAATACACTTTAAAGGCACTTTTTTGTTTTCCTTTTTTCCTAGTGCTGGCTAGTTGCTTTAGACATATTAACTTTTCAGCTGTGTGCCTATATTTTTGGGCTGGTTAACATCACAATTTATGCATTCTAAATGGGGGCAGCAGTTTACTGGGAAGTTTATATCTGGAAAGTAAATTCCCCCCCACCCCCCTTTTTTTTTTTTTTTTTCTTTTTTTTCTTTCTTTTTCTTTCTTTTTTTTTTTTTTCCTTTTTTTTTTCCTTTTTTCTATGCCTCCTAGACCTAAAGGAGCAGTTAGCCCTTACACTGGTGGTGCAACCCCACTGCATCATTTCCTAGCTGCCTGGAGACAGGGCTTTAAGATCTGTGGCAACCGTATTTTAGAGAGAACCTTTCAAGGGCCCCTTCACAGTTTTATTGCAGGCTACTTTTTTTTTTGTAAATCAAGCACTGCAAAATGCACAATAATATGTGTCTGTAGATGCACTGGGGAACTTGTTGCAGTACGCTGCAGTAAAGCACATAGTAACGTACACGTCACTACAGGGCTTTATGTGTGATTAGGCCATGGGGGGGGGTTATAATTTTTTAAAATGATTCTATGGCTGACATGTTCGCGTTAATGTGGCTGTACGCCACACAAGGGCAGTCTATCATGTCTATAAAATGTTTGCAAGTTCGCATTTATATGAGCCATGGTATTGTCCTATATCATTATCTACAGATCCAAAGCAAGTAAGGACTTGCCATGAAGTTTGCTAATATTCTTGCAGTGAATATTGTTCATTTGCAGGTGCTTCTTAAAGGATCAGTACATTTTTTTTCGTGAACTTCTGGTCAAAGTGCTGGAGGGAGGAATTTGAAAACAATATTTTGTACTTATCTAGACCACAACACCACTGCTTGAAGAGCTTTTCTGTGTGGCCTGAACAGCCTATACTGATGCATACCACAGAGGGGATGGAGGTAGAGAAGGATCAGTACACCAGAACTTCACTGATCCCTTAAACCTCTAATGAACACACAGCTAATCATTACAGTGTTTGTAAAGATTCAGATTTTTTTTTTTTAAATAAACATGTCACACCTACCTGATCTGTGTAATGGTTTTGCACAGAGTAGCCCTGATCCTCCCCTTCTTGTGTCCCCTGCCGGTGCTCCTGACTCCTCCCCATTGCTGAGTACCCCCAGAGCAAGCTGCATGCTCTGGGGCACTCATGCTTGCTCAGCCCTGCATCCTGCTCTCTCTCCACTGGCTGTGATTGACAGCAGTGGGAGCTAATGGCTCCCGCTGCTGTGTTTCAGCCAGTGAGGAGAGAGAGACCCGGGAGACCTTTCTGCTCTTGTGCACAGCGCTGGATCGGGATCAGGCATAGGTGAATATAAGGGGGGCTGGGGATAGGGGGAGCTGCAGACTGAAGGTTTTTTAACTTCATGCATTGAATGCATGAAGGTAACATTCCTTCAGCCCTTAGAACCATTTTATTGTGACCAATCTGTTATTTAGGGAAGCAATAAGATACTAAAATAGAGTTGGCAATTTTGTTTATTATGGGTGGTTTTCGAATAAATAATTTCTAGTTTTACAGAGGTTGATAGATGCTTCTGTGTTCCATTGCCCTTTTTATTAATGTTTGCAGCATGTAATGGGAAGAAATTGTTGTTCTGCTTAATTTGGAGGCCAATGGAGTACAGCTGAGTTGTGTCTTGGAAATTCGCTTTTAACAAATTTCTCCTTACCGTGAGTACTCGCAGTTGGATGTGCAGCAATCCCCCATAAAGTCGTGCGAATCTCGCTTACCGCGACTGCAGCTAAACTCCACGATTCCTGGCGCCTCCAACTGGTTTAGCTATCTCAGAATTGTGGGGAAATGGAGCTCCAGGTACCCAGGAATGATCACACGACACTCTCAGGTTGCTGTTGGAATTCACATAGAGGCTGGCTTCAGACTCCGCCCCCGGTTTTATTACACACACACACACGCCCCCCACATGAGTCAGGTCAATCCCCTCCCACAGAACAATGCATGGGGAGTGCCTATACACAGGATGTACATTCCGATTGGAGCATAGCCTTTCCTCTTATCTATCACCAGTCTTCCCCTCCCTCCATGAGCTCTCTGAGGGAAGCAACCTTCCCCCTTTACACCAGTCCTCCTCTCCCCCCCCATGAACTCTCTGAGGAGAGCAAACTTCCCATTCTATTAGCTCCTAGTGGTATGTAAATTCTCTGTACAAGCATCCCCTAGATTAAACAGTGCCAGTCTGTATCTGAATGGGCCCGATACGATCTTTTTTAAAACACATCCATCCAGATACAGTTTCAGGTCCGAATGGCTTGTAAGATATACATGAGCCTACACGCGGAGTTCGCACTGCTTGGCACCTGGCTATACGAAGTCCATGTGGTACTATGCTGCTGCTATGTGGATACAGGCCTGCGGCCTACCGCCGGCAGCATTCGCATCGAATGCCGTGGTGGTATACACGCCGGTCTATAAGCGCAGATCTGCCATCTCATCCATTACCGAGCTGAGTACTGTAATACATACATTGTACATGCGCATGGCCCAATTGCAGCCTTCAGAGCTTTAATTAAGCCACACGAGAGACATATGAATAACACTAATATATGACACATTTAAAGTTCAACCTGTAAATACAAAATTTCCATGACAGCTGATTGGGTATATGGGGTGTATTCTATCAATCCATATCCATTTTGGTAAAATTCCCTTTCTTCTTCAGATAAGTCATAGCAGCTTTTAACTACTGTCAATATTACACGCAGCAGATGTCAAATTATAACAGATGCATATTATTTTCAGGTTCGTTCACACCAGAATTCGGTGCGGGAAACCCGCATTCCATGCACAACGCACTGGGTGTGATCTGTTGCAGGTGTCATCATATTCCTAATGATAAATGCAGATCACAAATACAGTGCGTTTGCCTGCACCAGATCACATGGTACCGCAGTAGCAGCAGATTTCTAATTAATGGGCTGAAAATCACACTGCACTGAATCGCACAGTAACACAGACTGCCTTCCTGTGCCATTCAGGTGTGAATAGGCCCAAAAGTGGAACTTTGTCTAAGGAAAAATAAATTTCAGGCTTTTTGCCTTTCTGTTTGCAAACCCCTGCAGGCTGTACACTGAGCTGTGCATGTGCAGCTTGGTGTACAATCTCAGCATGCCTCAGTGACACTTCCATGAGCATACACTAAAGTTATGTCATGCTGAGCCCTATCAAGATAGTTGAAGATGCCACTCTTAGAAGAAGACAGGGAGAAGATGCTGATGAGGGAGCTTGTAAACATATTGCTGGAAGAGAGGTGAGACTGTACAGGGGCAGACTGACAACTCACGGGGCCCCCGGGCAATAGGGGATCATGGGGCCCCTGTGTCCTTGCCCAAACTCAAAAAAGCCTATGAAAAAGGTACCAAGGGCATCTCATGGGGCCCCCTACCGACCCCGGGCCCTCGGACAGTGCCCGAGTTTCCAAATGGTCAGTCCGCCCCTGGTTTGGTATTGCTTTAAAGCGATTCTAAAGGCAAAAATAGTTTTATTTATTTTAAATAACAAACATGTCATACTTACCTGCTCTGTGCAGTGCTGTTGCACAGAGCAGCCTCGATTGTCCCCGTCGGTGCTCCAGGCCCCTCCCTCCTGTTAAGTGCCCCCACAGCAAGCAGCTTGCTATAGGGGCACCTGAGCAAGCTCACTTCCGAGCTGCTGCTCTGTGTGATCATTCATACACAGCCGCAGCTTGGCCCCGTCCCCTGCTCACTTTTCAGTGGCTTACTGGCTGTGTGATTGACAGTAGCGGAAGGCAATGGCTCCTACTGCTGTCTCAGCCAATGAGGAGGGAGAGACCCAAGGCTCACGATCACATCACTGGATCAAAATAGGGTTCGGGTAAGTATTTTGGGGGCTGGGGGCGAGGCTGCACACAAGGTTTTTTACCTTCATGCAAAAAATGCATAAAGGTAAAAAATCTTGAGCCTTTACAACCACTTTACCACTGTTCACTTTCATTATTTCAATTGATGTCAATGGAAACAATAGTTAATGGATAAAGTGCAGTTGTATACATCCCGTGGTTAGATCTTTAGCATTCTGCCGCACCTGTACTTTATCTTCACATAGGGTTCTATAGGACTATGGCAGGAGGCAGCAAAGCTTAAGAGACATAGAAGAGGCATAGAGTCTCAGAATATGGAAAGCAACTATGTAGCTGTGGCAGAACACAAGCACAATTTACCTGCATGGCCATTATGAGGAATTCCCACTCTATGGGGGATTCCCAATCTCTCCTTTTTTTAGAAATTTTTTTTATATTATAAAGATGCTGCAACACACAAAGGTGGATGGAACACTCAAAACCCCCAGGTAGACAGGAAGAGAGTTGGGAACTCTGGCATGAAGATCTTGCTGTTGGAGCATCCAAAACATATAAGAAGCCAGGCCAAAGGATGACAGTCCAAATTCATTTATTAGTTCATGAAAAAATAGTCAATGTGATTTTGGGGTCAGAAAAAAACTCCCACTTCATCAGAGCTTCAGTTAAGAACCTTTAATGGACTCAAAATAGATCTTTCCTGGGTGAATGTGTGTAGGGAAGTCAATTGCTGGATCAAGAGAGTTACTAGCCAGTAGTATTTGTGTGAGCAATCAACATGAGCGTATCTTTTTTGCTCGTGTAGATACCAATAACTCTTGATCCAGCTATTTGTTTCCCTACATACATTCACACAGGAAAGCTCAATTTTGAGTCCATTGAAGGTTCTTCTCTTAACTGAAGCCCTGATGAAGGGGGCATTTTCTCTGACCACCAAAACACATTGGTTGTTTTTTGTATGAACTAAGTGAATTTAGACTCCTATCCTTGGTTTGAGCAGCCTAACCTGAGCCAGGGAGCTTTCCAAATGTTTTTGTCCTCTTAGTACTTTGTATCAACTTACATCCAAGTCTCAGTGCTTCTTGGGTACTTTTTCTTCACTGGTGTGTATATAAGAAGCCAGGGGCTGACTCAGGTTAGTAGGATTCACCTGTAACCTAAATATCCTTTTTAGGTGGATGATCCCTTTTAAATATTCAGGTTCTTGTATAAGAACATTTAAACAACAACACAGTACAGATGGGCCAGTGTGGTATCATCCAAAGTAATTTTGTCCCCTGGTTTCCAGATACTAACTTTGTTTTCCTAATGTAGATGATCAATTCTCTCCGACAACTGCGAAACAGTGCTGCCAAGAAAAGAGCGAAGATGAGCGGCAGTCTTTCTGATCTCGACAGTCCAGACTCCATGAAAATAGATCTGAATATGGATTCTCCATCTTCAACATCATCACCAATTAATGGATCTTATAGTGAAAGTGGGGTCTACAGCCGGGAGTCCCTCACCTCTCCACTCTCTCCCACGCCACAGTTGAAGAGATTGTAAGTGATACCTAATCTTTCTTAAAGCTCTCTTGCCTTCCTTTGGTTTTTCCTTTTCGCAAGTCATGATTTACTAGTTAATTTTATCAGTGACAGCCAATAACAGCTGAGAATGACAGTTACATGGCAGAGAAATCTAATAGTTGATGGTGAATTGGGCCTTATGTCTGATCTGGAATCCTATAATCCTTGAACTTTAGTATCCTTGGTTACTTGCTACTTGTCTAAGGTTTTACTATTCTTTTGAAAGGATCTGATCTACATTGTCCACTGTTCTTACTTGTTCTTTGTGCTAATTATAAGTATTCTAGTTCAGTTATTTGTAGAAACAACAGTACAGTATGTAATTGTTATTTTATGTTGGTTGTTTCTTACCAAAGCCTACTTTGCCAAATTCAGGTTTTAAAGTATATCTCATGCTAATTTTTCATTTTGAATAGTGTGGGCAACCATTCTAAAGCAATGTTCTCTGGAACCATAGGGGTCCTCCAGAGGTTGCTAGGTGTTCCTTGAGCTGCGGCTAATTGACCTCCCATCTGATGGTACCTGCACAGTTCCAGGTCAATCCCCACTTGGCAGAGCCAGTAGCATGACACCACTGATCATTCTAGCTGACTGTAATGGTGCCATTTTAACTATCACTGTAACAGAAGGGTATTTTATCCACTGACCTCCAATGTAAGGGGTAGCAATAAAAACCTGATTGGGGTTCCAACCCCTCACCAATCTTGCAGAATTAAAAAAACAAACTGTTTTTTGCTTTCATCTACTACATGTCATTTTCCTCATCTGTTCATTATATGACAGGTACCTTTTTTTTTTTTTTTTTTATTGCATTAGTTTTTTTTCTGTAATTGCTAAAAAAATACAGGTTCTTTTTTAGTTGAACACAAGGCAAATAGCTAAATACACCAATGAAATGCATATATTGGAGATAGTCTACCTGCCAGAGGATTTATTTTTCTGTCCATACAGCTCTGTCACACAGAGCAGCCATGTCTGGCAGGACAGGAGACCTGTGTTTTTTTTTTTGTTTTTGTTTTTTTTTTCTCTACTGCAGTTTACTAAATCTTATAAGTCTTGTCCACCCAGCAGCCTGTGACTAGGCAGTGAAAGGAGAAGTAGACTCCTAAACTAACTGCTCTGTAGCTCTGTTTTTTTTTTTTTTTTTTTTTTTTTTCTTTTCCTATCAGCAGATCCCTTATTATCAGATGAGCACTGCAGCACAAACCATTGGCTTCTTGTGCTGCTGCATCTTTTTGCAGACTGAGCTCTATGGTACAGAGGATTGCAAGAGTTTGATACAAAGTTAAAATGAGATAAACTGCTTTCATTTAAAAATACATTTAATGTATTAATGATTACAGAGCTGCATTAATTTTGTGTCTTTTATACCTACTTGGTTCGTTGCCCTTTTCCTTACCAGACTCTTAAGAAGGTCATATGCAGGAAGGTAACTGGAGGTTATTTTTGCTAATTGGCCCATAGTCTTTGGAGGTTAATTAATACCCACTGGAATCTTGTATGGTTCAGTGAAAGATGCAGTTATGTATGGAACACATCAGTGTGTTATATCAGTGTTTACCGCCTGACATAGAGGTTCAGAATCCGCATTAAAAATGTATATCTGACTGTAGTAATTATTGTGGATGGGCAAATCTGTTGTGTAGTAGAGGGCCATATTTGTCTGTTTTGCATTCAAGGGTGAATAAAAGTAAAAATGTCAAATTAATGCAGGCACAATAAAGTGCTAGTAGTTGTCATTATGACCCCAAAATGTGTCCTTAGGAGTCCTTTAAATGTTTTATTTAGAAATCAGACACTTCGCTCCCCTTCACTTCCCACATGCCCATGCCCCACTCTCTGAACTGGGTAAGCAGTCGCTGAGAATTGCATTGTGGGATGCAAGATGAAGGTGTACCCAGGACTGCTGTTAGAAACTATGGTGGAACCATACAGCCAACCTGACAATGTACCCAAATAAACAGTTTACTATGCTTCAGTTATGAATGAACACAGTGAGTGATCGGTACCAGTGGGGGCACACAAGGGGGCCTGGGCTTCAAGTAGGAACATATGGTGCACAAGGAGTATGATCAGTGTGGCTGGGGTGGGCAGTTACTGGAACCAATCCCTTGTATAGCTCTCTCTAAGGCAGGTGAAAGCTTTCAGGAAGGAGAAGAGAATCATCTGCTGCTGCTGCACAGAGAGCCATACAGGGGATCAGTTCCAGTAATTGCCCTCCAGCTGTGATGATCACCCTCCCTGCCCCATCTAATTCACCCTGTTAGTTGGGTCCCCCTGCTGGCCTGGGTTCCCTTATTCACAGCCCTGAGTGTACCTGTCCTCCAATTTGCCTGCCCCATTCAGGTTCTCCTGGGGTGTGCACTTGAGGGATGTTTGGAAGTGCCTTTCTCAACTTTTTTTTACCATGAAGGAAACCTTGAAATCATTTAATGGGGTCTTAGGGGAACCCCTTGAAATTTTTTCCCCTGAAATCATCAACCCTGAAAATTTTTCTGCAGCTTGAGGACAGCTGCAAGATTGGCAAGTTGTAGACCTAAGAATAATCAAAACAATATAGAATGTGGTGTATTTGACATCTAGAACCAGTCATTTTAATCTTGCAATGAATTTTGAAATAAGCAATAATAACCAGAAAATACAGACAAAGAAAATTGTAGTGTCTTTTACATTGCTGGTCAATGTAGAGGTTGCTCCATATATTGCTGGTCAGTGGAAAAAGCACCTCTTACATTGGTGTTCAGCATATTGCTCATTTACAGTTATGGTCAGTGGGGAATGCCTTCCGCCCATTCTAAGTTTGATGTTCTGTGGAAAGAATGCCCTCTTACACTAATGATCAGTAGGAAGAATGCTCCTTATGTTGCTGGTCAGTGGAAAAATGTCCCCCTTATGTTGGTGGTCAGTGGAAAGGCATGCCATTATTGTGGTGTTTAGTGGGAAAAAGCACCCTTTACATTGGTGATCAGTGGAAAGAGAATGCCCTGTTACACTGACATGCTCCTTAGTTGGTCATTGTAGTGTCTCCCTAAACTGATGGTCTTTGGTCCAATGCCCCTGGGTCTGTTGAGTGATGATGGAGCCAGGACTATACAGGCACCACCAGGCAGAAAGTCTGTCCACCGTTGCTGATTTCTCTAGCAACCTCTGGAGAAACCTTAAGGTTGCACAGAACCATGCTTGAAGAACATTGACATATAGTAAGCATTGGCGTATTGTAGTGCTTGGTTTTATAGAACCCCTTTTTGTTTTACTTTTTTGATATAGGATTTCTCCAATATCTAGCTGGATCTGTATTTTAGCTTACTCAGTGTTACATTTTGTAGCAAAGTGTTTTGCTGGCAGTTAAATAGTAACCAGGACTGTTGAGCTAATGTTAGAAGAATGTGGTATGACTGCAAGAATTTGTCTGAGAGAGTGACATGTAAGCTGCAGGGGTTGCTGGGTCACCGAGTGTAGGTTACCCTTTTGCTTTGTGCCTTGCAGCCTGGTCATACACAGAATGATTTTCTTTTACATTATTTTTTTTTTAGATTTTTTTTTTTTTTTTTTGTTAAGGTAGGCAGAACCATACATTATTAGTACAGTGGGTATCCAAACAGGTGGCACAATTTAGCAGAAAAAGACTGAAAAGAGAACCTATACTTCAAATTAAGAATGTTTGAGGCGATGAGTGAGGGTTGAGAGCAGCAGATGGAAATTAAAGGGGAGGGAGAATGGGGCAGAGTGAAGATGGGAAATTCATTCTTGATCATTCTGGAGCTTGAGGTACTTGTATGGATTTAGATTGTGAGGGGAGGAAGGATATCTGACCACTTGTTACCTTATTAGCCCCCAATTTTGGCTTTATCTTTGGAGACATCTATCGATTGTCTACAAAAGGTGAGGATTGATTTGTAGGAAGACAAGGCACAAGAGAGAGGGAAAAACATAGGGTAGGGAGCCCCGCAGTTCAAATGTGAATTAAAGTGTGAGCTGCAGAATAGGAGAGAAAGTAGAGGTGATAGGATAAAAAGAGACGAGGCTAAAAGGGAAAGCGGGGAAAGGAGGATAGAGGAGAATACAATGATTTCGGATAATTGCCAAAGTACAGGATAACAAATGGTAATGAACATGAGGGAAGGAAAAATTGTGAGTAAGGCTTGGTTCACACTGGATGCTATGTAAAATCGCAAATTTTGTTTGGGGTTTCACCAAGTTTTCTGAAGAATTGTTTGCAGCTTGTGAAGATTTCCCAACGATTTCTTGCACTTTCCATTGCGTTTTTCAGTGCAATTTTCTATTGTAGTTTTATGTATGTGAAATCACAACAAACTGCAGAAAAAGTAATACAAGAACTACTTTTGAAATCATGCTGCAGCAAATCGCGTATGTTAAGACACACATTCACATTCATTAGATCCGGTTTCAGGTACGATTTCAATTCCCAAATCGCACCTGAAATCGCGGCGGTATGAACCAGGGCTAAATGATCCAGCACAGTGGAAAGCTCTTTAGATTATCTGTGTTTCTGTAAATTTTTCACCTTGATGTGCAGTAGAAATTTTTGTCTTCACTTGTATCAGCACAGGTACTTATATTAGCACACGTACTTGTATCAGCAGAGCCTTCAGTTGAAGCAAATGATAACCCTACTTACCTGGGAGCCCACAGTGATGTACTGCTGTAAGTCTTGTGATCCAACATGCTGAAACTAGGTCACATGACAGAAAGATAACTGTTTGACCAACCAGCTTCACTAATGCAGCAGTAGTTTTCTTAAAGTACGTCTAAAGCCTAAACTTTTTTGTTTGCGGTTTTGGCTATGAAGTTAAAATGTTAAAGTTCATGCCCACCTCAGTTTGAGGTTGAAACCTACCTCAAGTTTGTTTTGCTAGGTTTCTTTGTCTTTCCTGTTGGGTAGATTTCCATTCACTTCCAGTCTTGTAGATCAAGCAGGAAATGATAGAAAATCTTTCCAATTTGAGAGGAAAACTTCTCTAAAACTGGCCATGCACAGATTATATTTTAAGCATTTGTATAGAAATTATAAAAAAAAATCTGTGTCAGGACACGGTTTCTTGCCGTTACTGAATCAACTAATTTTGTCGCTCTTAAAATTTCATCCAGACTTGCTCATTGAATGAAAACCCAAATGCATTAAACAGGTTTCAGTATGTAATTTTTTTCCCCAAATGAAAACTACACATTTAAAATTGTGTTTTATTGTAGAAAAAAAAATCCTTTCTGCTCTTTCAAATTTTCTTTTCACAGTTGAAAACGACTATCGATTTGATCCAACTAACCATTAGAATATCAAATTTTCATTCTAAAAATTAAAAATTTCAAACATAAATCTATTGGTGTATGGCCATCTTTAGACAGATGTCACAAGAAGAACAAGTGTCCTCGTAGAAAAATGTATCCTCATTTACTGCTCAGTTGAATACTTTTGTCGTAAAATTGTGGATTTTCCCCGTTATGGATCCAAACGTGATCTAGAAAATCTCACTTGGACTTGGACTTTCTAGCTAACGCAGGAATATTTTTTTAATTTTTATTTTTTGTAAAGCGTTTAAATAAACAGAGAGCTTTTTGAGGCCTGGTTCATACTAGCACAATTTCAGAATCACATGACAAGGGAAATCACATTCTTGTTAGTGGTGCCTGTTCACATCAGTGCGGTGCGATTTTGAAAAAGGTTCCTGTACTACTTTGGTACAATATATAGTGCCGTGTGGCCCCATAGAATATGCAAACCAATCCAAAATGAAACCAAGGTCACACTACATAATTGCACTGAAAATCAGGTCAAAATCCCATTGCAGTAGTGTGACCTGATCCTGAGTCATGACTATAAATGGAGTAAAAATAAGTCTCTGTTACTAATGGCGACTAATCCGAAGCCTTTTACTTGTTTTGACCTGCACTGTCAAAGTGACTGCTGAATTGAAAGGCTTTGAGATGCATTAGATAATCCTTTGCTACACTTAGTAATTATATACCGCTTTATTGTACATAATGTTCTTTTCAATTACAGATCTGAAGTTATTACTGTTCCAAAGCCAAAAGTACGGCCGAGAGTTCCCTCAGCTTCTCGGAGTAAGGATACTGGGAAAAAGGCAGACAGCCTACAGCAAGGTATGCTCACAATTTAGCATGTTGCATATTAATATTTTATTCTTAATAAATTGCCAATAACTACTAATTTACTCCAAAGTAATCTAAAGAGGAACCCAACTCTGGAAGCTATGCCCACAAAAAGGCAGGCAGAAGGCAAAGAACTAGTTATCAGTATTGTCGGTAGTCTCCCTGCTGCTGATCCATCCAGTAATGAACAATTACTGACTTGCCATGGCTTGGTTCATATTGTGTCTGTGTGAAGGCGGCCAGATAGGTAGAAGCAAGGCTTTGCTTCCTCATGTCAGAGTTTTCAGCAAGTATACAAGTGTGCAGCACAATAGTGGCATCGCCAAATTTCACTGTAAATCTCCTGAGACTAGCGATCACAGGCAGCTGTGCTGTAAATTTAAATATACAGGTAAAAGGTCATTTTTTTGGGCACAATTAGCATTTCAAAATTTTTCTTATATTATAGCAAGTGCTCACTTCATGAATTCAGTCCCACTCAAAGAAAATTCTGTGGCAGTTCTGTATATATTTTCTTTGAATAAGAATATGCAATATTTAATTTGATAAATATTGCATTTTAGTCCTGACAATAATAATTACAGTCTCTTATCCAGACAGTAGGTGGAGCTCTAGTCTTCTTTTCACACCATTAGCGCCATTATTTTTCAGCCATGGTGAAAGAAGCCTGTGGTTTACAGAACCCAATGAGTCACTAGAGCAGTGACTCCCTTTTCAAGTGGATGTGTTGGAGTTGACTCTTCTTTTCTGCGGAGTTATCTGGTGTGTGTGTGTGTGTGTGTGTTCTATCTCAATGTATGTATATTTGTTTATATGAATATACTGTGTGTGCGTATATACAGTGCGCAGCCTAAATGAGTACACCTCAAAAGATTTGTTAGAAAACTTTTACTTTCCTTTCAGAATCAACATTTTCTATGGGTCACTATTCTACAAAATACTCCCACAAATGTGGGCCATTAATTGCAAAGATTTGTTCATTTGCACACACAAAAAAGTATTTTTCCTAACATATTCATTTAAAACCATGTTACAAAAATGAATACACCCCAATGAAAGTCTTAAAAGCAAAGCTAAATTTTAGACAACAAAATCCTAATTGACAAGAATTCAACTACAGATGAGTCTAATTATTTATTAAACAGGTGTCCAGCAGACAGTTGATATAAAAGGGCGTTGCTTAACAAAGAAAACCCCTCCCATTTCATGCTGTCAGCAATGGCACCACATGGAAGAGAAATGTCACAAGGCCTGAGAAAGAATATAATTTCTTTACAGAAGAAAGGTGAAGGCTACAAGAAGATCAGCAAAGCTTTACTTATTAGTCAGAGTACTGTAGCAAAAGTGATAAAAATTTTAGCAAAGATGGAACTGCAACCATCTCACAGAGACGTCCAGGCCATCCACAAAAGTTAATACCTCAACAGGAGTGTCTTCTGATGAGAAGGGTTAAGGAAAATTGCCATGCAAGTTCGCTGCAGTTAGCTAAAGAAGTAGAAAGCTAAACTGGGGTGATTTTTTCCCATGACACAATACGGCGTACACTGCAGAGGAATGGCATGCATGGGTGTCGTCCACGAAGGAAGATTCTTCTAAAGCCCACCTAGAATTCGCCTGGGCCCATGCTGAAAAAGTAGAAGACTACTGGGACTCTGTACTCTGGAGTGATGAGACCAAGATAAATGTGTTTGGAACTGATGGCTTCAAGACTGTATGGGGAGGAGTACAAAGAAAAATGCATGGTGCCTACAGTGAAACATATTGGTGGCAGTGGCCTTCTGTGGGGCTGCATGAGTGCTGCTGGTGTTGGGGAGCTGCATTTAATTGATGGTATCATGAATTCACAGATGTACTGCTCTTTATGAAAAGTGAAGATGCTAACATCACTGGGTGCCCTTGGTCGTTGTGCACTTTTCCAACATGACAATAATCCAAAACACACATCTAAGGCCAATGTTGTATTTCTGAAGAAGAACAGGGTGAAAGGGATTTAGTGGCCAAGTATATCTCCTAATCTTAACTTAATCAAATACCTATGGGGAATTCTGAAGAGACAAGTTCAGCATCACTTTCCATCCAGGCTCTGCAAGAGGTCGTTCTTGAAGAATGGAAAAAGATAGATGTTGCAATATTTCGCCAACTTGTTCATTTCATGCCTAGAAGACTTGGTGCTGTCTTTACAAATCATGGAGGTCATACAAAATACTAGATGGAGTAGTTTTTTTGTTGTGGGGTGTTCATCAACTAATTTGAGTAAAACTGAAGATTTTGTAATCCAAGTTTATCTAACTTTAAATTATTAAACTTCCTTTTATGTAATGAGCTAAACTATAAAACTCGGTTTTGTCAAAATTTTGGAAATTGTTCATGTGTTCATTAAGATAATAATTAAAATCTTACTTTTCAAAAGGGGTACGCATTTCTGCTTAGCAGCATGTGTATGTGTGTGCATATGTATGTATGTGTATGTATATGTTTTTTTATTGCCAGAGGGGTTTCCATTATGTCTAATTAAAACACTTTTTGCTCGACATTCAGTGGTGTGGAACTGCAGGGCCAGTTGGTGCATTAGCTTCCCAGCTGGGCCGTTGGCCCTTAAACTGCGTTTTTTTTTTTTACTCTATAAAAAGCAAGCAGGTTTAATCTAATGCCCTGGAATCTGACAGCTGGAATCTGGTTGCCAGTAGCAATTTTTACATTTAGGTGTTTTTCATTTATTTCATAATTCTACCCTGAATAGTTGTAAAGGTCAGTAACACATTGCTTCCTAAAGAGTCGTATTTTTTCTCCCTGACACAGAGAAGAAAGCCCAGGATTACTTGGCATTCATTAGTCAGAAGTGTTGCCGTGTTTATTTTTTCCGTTGTGTATGAGATAGAAAAGGTTTGGGCCAGGTGCTCCAACAGAAAACCAGTTCTGTCAGATTCCTGATTAATCCTCGGTTCATTTTTGTAATTTTGATCTGTTATTTATTAAAGCGTTATTCCAGAAAAAAACCTTTTTTAAATTCAAAATTCTGTAATTTTTTTAAATCTGAATTCTGGGGAAATTTTAAAACTGCCCTTTGCAGTGGATCTCCCACTGAGCTGCAAGGGTTAAATGCTCGTTTTTGTCTAGGATACCATTAAAAAGTTTTACTTGCTGTATTCCGTAAGTCGGCCATGCATTGATTGAAATTTCGGTCCATGTATGGGCACTCGGGTTGTACACAAGTCAATCTGCCGATCATCTTGTGTACAACCAGCCTGTTGGGGTTTTCGATTAGTGCCACCAGCTGTAGCTGGCAACACTAATCCTTGTGTTCTACTGGCAGGACAGGCCCCCATCGGCAGAACAGGGATCAGTCAGTGTTGATGGAGGAATTGAGCCATTTTCTCCTTTCCACCCATTGTGGAAGGAAAGAAAATTGCATAATCTATGGCCTGTCTTACTCTCCTAGCAGGCAACACGTCCTTTCTCCCTCCGACATCTGGGCTGTGGGGGATTTTGTGTCTTCACTTACAATGTAGGACTGCTGGTCCTGTATGTATGTGATGATGTTGCAATGGTCAAGAGAAATGGTTTTGAGGGACATGTCTCAAGGAGAGCAGGAAGCCTGCAGGAGAAAGGATGGTATGGGAAGTAAAACTGCTTTTTAATGGTACTCTACAATAAAAATAAGCATTTTAATTTTGATTTCCCCCCCCCCCAGAGTGCAGCTTTAAATGTCATTGGTGTCCCTATTTGGGAGCATTCCTCTCATTTCATGTCTTATCTGACCCACATCACCCATACAGGAAGTAAGCAAAAACGTGCCAGTTGGGAAAAAAGAGACATAATATCCCATCTGAGATCCAAACCCTTCCACAGTGTAATACAAATTTGCTGATATTGCTGTTTGTATAGCCTGTCGGGGTGATTTGTGTTAAATGTAATTTTTTATGAACCATTTTTAGAAACCGAAGTCAGAAAGGAAAAGGCCCCACGCCATACTTTTTTTAGATATTTATTTGTAAGAAAAATTTGAAAACCATTTATCCTTTTTCTTCCAATTTAGAATTATGTGCCACTTTGTGTTGGTCTATCACATAAAATCCCAATAAAATACATTTACGTTTTTGGCTGTAACATGACAAAAATGTGGAAAATTTCTCACGGGGTATGAATACTGTTTAAAGGCACTCTATGATGGTGACCATAAACCCAAATGGTGACCATAAACCCAAATGATGGTGACCATTAACCAAAATTAGAAACGTCTGACAACCAATGCATCCAGAATAAATTTCTTTGCCTGCAAAAAACGTGTATTTATTATTATTATTTTTTTAAAGGTGTACTTCTTTATTTCTCAGATAATGCTCAATTGTTTGGCAGATCTGGCAATAACCATCCATCTTTTCTTGAATGAGTCCGGTAAACTTTTGGCTGCTGGTATGTTATCACATATGGCTACCATAACATTTCTTTTCTGTCTTAAATTCCCAGGAAACCTTGCCAATGAAAAGTCAGTAAGAGTGATTGGTCAGCGGATGTATTACAGGAATGGGCCTGCAGATGCTGAAGAAGAGAGTTCTAAGGAGGTTACTCCCATGCTTACAAGACATCCGCCAAAGCCACCAAGGCCCATTAAAGGCAAGTGACGAAATCGAATTCTACTGTTACTCCCACTGTAATCTTAAGTGTACCTAGAGATGGAAAAAAAACTGAAAAATTGTGAAAAAACTATTTGTTTTTCTATTTTTTTTTCCAAAGCAGTTTTTTCTGGAAAAATTTTAAAAAATGAAAGGAGTGTGAAATATATTTTTACAATGATAAATAATAAATCTGTGACATGGTATTCAAACTATATAACATGGAGACCTTAATGAAAGCTTTCCAAGACTTTATGTAAAGTCCTGAATGTTTCCCTATAGTCTGCTCAGGAAATAGTTTTTTCCTTTCCTCCTCTCAGTGAAATGGTGAGAGTTTGGAAACATTTCCACAGTGCAATTTCTGCTCAGAGAAAAGCTGAAATTTGCAAATGTGAGAAGAAATATTCTATTCCAACTACTTTCCAAGGATGACAAAACACATTCTGGCATGCCAGAGGCATCCTAAAGACATTAAAAAATTATTTGTAGAATGAAATGATGACTATAATGAAAGTGCAAGTCCATTTTTCCTCCAGAGTTCTCAGTCCAGAGACACTTTCTGCTATTGGTGCTAACGAGCAAATCTGATTTTTTTTTTTTTTTTTTTTTTTTTTTTTTGTATGTTGATGGTTGTATTTTTTTTTTTCCTTTTGAGGGAAAGGGGGGTGATGACCTGTTCTAATGTATAGTTGAAGTGTTCCTAACATATAGTGTACAGTCCTTGTTATTCCATTTGTAATTACAAAAAAAAAAAGATTTTAAAATGGAAGTTTATTTAATGAATAAGCTGTATGTTTGTTTATTTCAAGCATAATACTTATATATATATATATATATATATATATATATACACACTGCGTTTTTTCACATTTTCAATTAACCAAACAACTCTCAATTTCTAATGACTCCACACTGATTTTTTTTTTTTTTTTTTTCTGAGAGATTTCCATTTATTTTTTCTGGAAAAAACAGCAATTTTTTTTTCCCGTGGCTTCTGTATTTTCAAAAATGTTACATCTCTAAGTGTACCTTACTAAAAGTCTGTGCAGGAAGAAGACTTACAATATTCCTGTCCTAATCAACTGCTGAATTATTGAGTAGTTTAGCTATAAGAGGTTTGTCAAGCACTATGCATGGCTGCTCAAAGATAAGAGCTATACATGAATATTCATTCCATGACTTCCCATCATATGGCTGGTTTCATTTGTTTGAGTTGTACTACAATACAAGTTGATCATTTTTTTTTCTCAGGGTCAAAGGCTGCCAAGAATTCTTGAAATACAAAGAATAAATCAGTTTAACAACTGCACATTATTTCTCTATGGGTGCATTCAGTAATCACATTTATCCATAGACCCATAAACATGCTTGTATGTGGGCTAGTGCCAGGTATGAATATATGTAGAGTGTAGTAAAAAGGTGACTTTTTTTTTTGTTAACTTTTTGAAAGCAAAGTCCCAAATAGCAGGCTACTTTTCATGGTATGCCTAAGTAATACTAAAGTCTTTTTTTTTTTTTTTTCCTAAAAAAACCAAACATGTCTATACTTGCTGTGTGCAGTGGTTTTGCACAGAGCATCCCAGATCCTCCTCTTCTCAGGTCACCCACCAGCGCCCCTTGCTCCTCTCTCCTGTTGGGTGCCCCCATAGCAAACAACTTGCTATGGGGAACCTGAGCAGGCGCGTGCTCCTGAGCCGCAGCTCTGCATGCTCATTCACACAGAGCTGTGGCTTGGCTCCACCCTTTCCTCTCCTGGTTGGCTCACTGGCTGTGATTGACAGCGGGAGACAATGGCCTCAGCCAATCAGGAGTGAGAGTCCCCGGAGAACCGTGATGCTCGTGGACATTGCTTGATCCGGATTGGGCTCAGGTAAGTATTAAGCGGGGCTGCTACACACAGAAGGCTTTTTTACCTTCATACATAGAATGAAGGTAAAAAACCTTGAGACTGTAGAACCACTTTAATTTGGCCATACAATATGCACATCAGGAACTTGCTGAAATTCTCTATCTGGGCGAGACAGAACATTTTTTGGCCAAATACTGGCTGCATCAGAATACAGTAGACCCAGCAGAAAATTCATCCATCCATGCTGTGTGTCTTGGATGGAAGAATATGAATGAAAAAAAACCTGTCCTAGTATGGCCAATTCCACAGCTGCTTACCTTGACTGCTTAAATCTTGCTTATCATTAGTGTTAAAAACAAAGCTGCACAAGAAAAAATTGAATGATGACAATGAAGGCAGAACCAGTCTTGATTTGGACTTTGTGCCCCCATCTCCCTAAACTCCAAGCCCTTTGCAGTGTTGACCTCCTGCAGCCAGCGTCTACTTTCCAATGTCTGCACTTGCCCATTAGAGTTCCTTAGACTTCTATGGGGTTCCTTCTCAAGTGTCTCCTCTGTAGACAGCAAGTCAAATATGACACCTAGAGGCTCATATTAAAAAACAAAAAACAAAAAAAAAACAGTGGCATGGCCCACACCTTAACCATACTGCTGCTTTCTTTCTTTTCTTTTTTTTTTTTTTTAAAAAAGCATGCACTTATAAAGCACAGCATTGTTGCTTTTTTTAAGAATGGGAAGGATCATGATGTAGGTGGCAAAACTCTCCATTTGTAAATGGGTCTCTTGCTAGTTGGGCTATAAAAATGTATGTGTTTTAAGCACTTCTATTAATGTTCTTGTTGATTTTCTCTGTTTTCTCTTTCACACATATAGGAATTACTGGGTCGGTTACAAGCTTTCAGCAGATTGACAATGATGTAACAGGTCTCTTGTCTGATGACTCAGTTGCTGTGATTGGAAAAGGTATGTGTGTGTGTGTGTGTGTGTGTGTGTGTGTGTATATTTATATAATACATATAGCAGCCCTTTTCAGCCAAGGTTCCATGGAACCCTAGGGTTTTTCAAGAAGTTGCTAGAGGTTCCTTGGGTTGTGGCTAATCGTCCTCCCATTTGATGATGCCTTGCATAGTTTGCATGGTTACATTTTATGCTCCTCTGCAGGGGCGGACTGACAACTCATGGGGCCCCCGGGCAATAGGGGATCAGGGGGCCCCTGTGTCCTTGCCCAAACTCAAAAAAGCCTATGAAAAAGGTACCATCTCATAGGGCCCCCTACTGACCCCGGGCCCTCGGGCAGTACCCGAGTTTCCAAATGGTCAGTCCGCCCCTGCTCCTCTGGGTTTTGAAAGTTCAATGGTTCTCCAGAAGACAATGAAATATGGATGTCTACACTTACATTCAAACACCTCTTTACAAGTGGGGAAGTTGGTAAGGGTTCGCTTTAGTTTATGCTGTAACCTACTCTGTGCAGATAGTGTTTCTATCTGGGATTCAAACAGGTGATCCCTTGGTTGGGCCTTTACACTACATAGTTGTTAGTAGATCTAATGGAAATTGTAGATCAGTTGCACACTCTTGAAATTTCAGATACCATCTATTGTCATGGAGCTTGTAATTTTTGATGTGTTTGTACCCTGTGCCATAAGCTAACAACATACTAAAGATGTTTTATTTTTTTGAAGGTGTGTTTGAAACTCCTCCTACTGCCTGTTATGCACGGAGTCAGGCTTCCTTCCCCACCTCGGAGGACTTGAGTTCATCAAAGCACAGCTTTGAACCTCCTATCCGTGTCTATGGTAGAGCAGTGCAGCAGAACAACCCACCTGTGGAAAGTGATGTAAGATAATCGGTGCACTGCACCACATGTTTGCAGATTGTTCTGCGGATTGAATTTGTGGTTTGTGCTCCTGCAAACATTGCTTCTTTTATGCAGGTTAAAGTCACAATGTCCAAATCAGCCCGGGACAAGATGAGGCAGAAACGTGAGAATAGTTTGAAGGAAGTGGTAGAGCATAAGGATTCGGAGAGAAGAGAGAGGGCTTTCCCAGACTGACCCGAGTCCAGCACGTAGAGATTGTGAGTATTTCCATTGCTCGTTGAAATGAGCAGTGCACCAGGCTTTTAGAGAGAGAGGTATTGAAAGTCCAGTTCAATGTGTCCCATCACATTCCAGTCATAAAAAAAAAAACACAGTGAAAATGAGACTGCTAAGAGCGCCCTCTACCTAAAGCTGAACTGCAGGGAATGGAAAAATGCTTCCTTGTAGTGGGGCTGGCCCTGCACTGCAAGGGTTAGATGATTGTTTTTAGGTCTAAGGCCACAAAAAGCCCTTGCATTTGCTCAAGCCTCCACTTCTGCAGGCTCCCTCCATACTGGTCTTTTTCAACCACGACGCCACCTGGGTTCTTCAGGGGTGCCTTCGAAAAATGCCTAAAAATTGCCCCATATTTGTCAACAAGCCAGCAAGTGCAGCATTACAACCTTGGCTACTGTGAGAGCCAGCTATTGGCCAATTATATAATTAGTTGATAAAGAGACTGTCGGGCACCTCCATCTTTGTTTGCCCCTCTCCATCAACTTTGGGATCATTTAGCTGAGTGAGGGAGAAGAGGAATGGTGGCATACTAGGCACCAGTATAAAGGTGTATTAGCTTTGTTAGAATAAATCGCCTCCAATAATGAGTGCCCTACATATGTCTATGTTGCAGCGTTATGTAAAACTTTTAATTTAGGTCTTTACATTTTAGAATGGGGTGCCTTGGAAAGGAGTGGGATATTAAAGGGTGCCTTGACTGAAAGGTTGGGAAACACTGCTCCATACTGTAAGACCATTCTACTCAGCCTCTTCTTCCTTATGCTGCAGCAGTCACAGGTCTTCTGATGTCATCAAGTGCAATGCAGAGCCTTAGCCTGACACCGAGGGACAGTCCTCTGTAGGAGCATATTAGAGTAGAGGAGAACGCTGCATGCCAAGGGAGTAGTGGATCAAGTAAATAAAACTGCTTTTCTATTGGTGGGTCCAAGGCCCTCCAGTCCAATGCTTTTGAAAGACTTCCATGAGCTACTGCTTGGAGCCACATTAAAGGAAACCTGCTAGGATAGAAAAAAAAAAAGAAACTGCCATTGATGAGTCAATCATAGATAACCCAAAATCTGGCTTTTGTTGTCTCTAAACTGCCTGACCTCAATCTGTCTCTCCTCTCGATGTGCAGTGCGAGGTCACACACTTTGCAACTAAAATGTCAGGTGACATGAAATAAAGGCAAATAGAAAACCTTCATAAGTAAGTCAGCTAAGTTAATAATTAAAGAAACAATACTCCATTATTATTCATGAAAAATACCTATTAAGGTAATCATTTCCAGACCCAGACCAAAAAACCCAAAAACTCATGACTTTGGAATGTACCGGAAAGTGACTATACTAGTAAAAATGCCTGAATTAACTGGAGCACGACCAGGAAATTCTCTAAACATAGGCTTTATTCTCTTGTACCCCAAGGGAAATGCGCCCTATACTGATCACTCGATTCCTCCAACACAGTCAGTGCTGATGAGGAAATGCCTCCCGAGTGATAGGGTTCTGTGGGGGGAGTGCGCAAGGGAGCCTTCCCTGCCAGGAGGATACAATGATAGGTATAGCCATGGGCAGTAAGCGCATGCTAATAACACGGCAGGCTGGTTGTAACCAAGTCAATGGATGATTTGACTTGGGTACAATCAGCATACCCATAGATGTATCGAATCTCAGCCGGTTCAGCGGGGATTGGCAAAGATTCGATCCATCTATGGCCGGCTTTAGTGCGATGATAGAGGCACAAGACGTTTAAGGAGACCCTGTCACCTGACCATTTATTTCAGCAGCAATTTCTCCTATTAGATTTGATGTGTTTTTTAACATACATATTTTATGTTTGTTACGTACCCATAAAAAGCCTTCCTCGTGTAGTCATCCAAAAGCCTTGAAACTACTACTGAGCGCCACCATCTTGGAAATGATCAGCAGCCCCAGTAGACTCAGAGCTGTCGCTCAAGCGATACTATAGTATACCCCTTTGCTTCTTCTTTGGCAGCTACATAAAGGGTTTTGCAGGGAGGTGACAGGTGAATAAGCTGGGCCAGCACAGACGTTAATTAGACACTTCCAGAAGTGGATAGGGCTATGACATACAAAGAGGAAGGGGGCTATGTTAGGGATTTGACTCTTCCTGGAGTGGTCAGATTTTCTAACAAAAAATCCAACATATCCCTCATGCGCATTAAGGTATAGCCAGTGTACAACATTGACTCCAAAAAGGAAGAAAAAAAAAAAAGATGTGTCGGTGTATGCAGCTATCCCTTGAGCTGTCCAACAAGGGCTTCCAAACATTCTGTACCTAAAACACAAAAGAAAGGAAGCTCAACCCAGTGCAATAAACATTTTAATTAAAGGGTGAGGAACTGTAACAACTGTAACAACACGAAGCATAAGCCCCCGACCGTTACAACCTTGGCAGACTGACGACACCAGAAATCTTAAACAACATAGTTGTGCGCTGGAGCGATTGTGGAGTAAAACCAAATCTCAACAAGCATTCACCCAATATAAATCTGCTTTCTTAACATACAATTCCTCCCTCCATGCTGCCAAACAAGCCTACTTTGTCACTCTCAGCAATAGCTTGTCATCCAGTCCTCATCGTCTCTTCTCTACTTTTAACTCTCTACTTTCTCCACCTTCACCTCCACTCAGCACCTCACTCACTGCTCACGAGATTGCAAATCATTTCAAAAGCAAGATGGATGCAGTTCGTAGGGGCATCTCCACTGCACAGGCATCCATCCCACTTAGCGTACCTTATTCTAAACCTCCCTCAACACTTTCCTCTTTTGACCTTGCTACTACCGAAGAGGTCACTAAGGTTTTCTCAGAAGCCCGTCTCACTACCTGCCCCCTTGGATCCTGTCCCCTCGCAACTACTATGGTCACCCTCTTCTTCCATCCTATGTTCCTTCACTCACATCTTCAATCTCTCCCTCTCTAACGGTGCCTTCCCCTCCCCTCTAAAGCATGCGCACATCACTCCCATACCTAAAAAGCCCTCCCTGGACCCCACCAACCTGAACAACTTAAGACCCATCTCCCTGCTCCCGTTTACCTCTAAACTGTTAGAACTCCTAGTCTGCAATCACCTGAGCTCCCACCTCACTGACAACAACCTTCTTGACCCTTTACAGTCTGGCTTTCACTCACTACACTCCACTGAAACTGCCCTATTAAAACTCACTAATGATCTAATAACTGCTAAAACCAATGGCTACTACTCCATACTCTTACTACTCGACCTCTCTGCGGCTTTTGATACAGTTGACCATCCCCTCCTCCTCAAAAAACTCCACTCTCTTGGCCTCCAAGACTCTGCTTTCTCCTGGTTCTCCTCCTACCTATCACAGCGCTCCTTCAGCGTTACTTATAACTCCGGCTCCTCCTCTTCACTCCCTCTTTCTGTAGGGGTCCCTCAAGGTTCCGTCCGCCATACTCTTCTCCATCTACACCTCCTCCCTTAGTCACTTGATAAACTCCCATGGCTTTAAGTAACATCTCTATGCTGATGACACACAAATCTATATTTCTACCCCTCACCTCACCCCTTCAGTCTCCTCTCGCATTACTAACCTACTAGGCAACATATCGGCATGGATGTCACTCCACTTCCTCAAACTCAATCTTTCCAAAACTGAGCTCTTAGTATTCCCTCCAGCCCGTGCCCCCTCCCCTGACTTTTCCATCAAGATCAATAACACAATCATCAGTCCCTCCCCTCATGCCAGGGTACTAGGTGTAACCCTAGACTCCCATCTGTCCTTTCAGCCCCAAATCCAATCGCTGTCCAAATCTTGTAGACTTCACCTCCACAACATCTCCAAGATATGCACGTTCCTAACCTCGGAAACCACTAAGCAACTTATTCACTCCCTTGTTATATCTTGCCTTGACTATTGTAACTCCCTCCTCATTGGCCAACCTCATCGCAGGCTATCCCCTCTACAGTCTATCATGAATGCTGCTGCCAGACTCATCCACCTTTCTAACCGTTCTGTATCAGCCACCCCTCTCTGCCAATCCCTCCACTGGCTTCCACTCAGTGTCCTCCACCCCTCTCTGCCAATCCCTCCACTGGCTTCCCATTGCCCAACAGATAAAATTCAAAACACTAACAACATATAAAGCCATTTATAACTCTGCCCCAAATTACGTCAGCAATCTTGTCTCCAAGTATCACCCAAACCGTACTCTCCACTCCTTGCAAGACCTCCTGCTCTCTAGCTCCCTTGTCTCCTCCTCCCATGCTCGTCTCCAGGACTTCTCCAGAGCTTCCCCAATCCTATGGAACTCTCTACCCCAATTTATCAGACTATCGCCTACTCTGCTTACTTTTAGGTGATCTCTGAAAACCTATCTCTTCAGGGAAGCCTATCCTGCCCTCAGCTAATAATGGAATCTTCTACTCTTCCTACCAATCCATCCCCCACAGTTACTACCTTTTGTACCACTAACCCCTCCCTCCTAGATTGTAAGCTCAAAGGAGCAGGGCCCTCCTATCCCTCTTGTATTGAACTGTATTGTTGCTGTATTATCTCCCTTTATACTGTAAAGCACTGAGCAAACTGTTGGCACTATATAAAACCTGTATAATAATAATATTATAATAACTGCTCGGCGCTTGTTATGTGACGGCAGCCTGATCAATTGCCAATGGGGCCGGTGTTTACATGTCTTTTTCTCTCTGGGTTTCATCTCTTACTGAATCATCTGCAAACGTGTGCAGCATTTGGTTACAGTTCCCTACTGGGTCTGAGAGTGACAGCTAAATCTTACTGTCAGGGATGCGGGTGTGACCAGAGATGTGTGTACTGACACAGGGAAACACAGGCTCCAGATGTGGTATAAACAAGACAATTTATTAAGACTAACAATACAAACATAAACGCAGTGCACCAAACCCCAAGCTAACACAAATACATACAACAAGGTGAAACAAACCCAAACCTAAACTGGTATAGATACACAGGTACATACACACATAGAGCACAACGTAGTCAGGCAGGCCGGGTCGATAACTATCGGGCAGGTAGGTACAGGAGGAGCAGGTGGAGAGAATGGTCAGGGTCACAAGCCAGGGATAAAACAGGAGAAGTCGGCAGAGGTCAGGATCAGGCAGGGTCGGCAACAAGTCAGGCAGAAACAGGAATGCAGGTTACAAGGTACAGGGGCCCATGGAAAAACACACACCAAGGCACAGACTGCAGGTCTGTCCATCCCTTAAATACACCTGCAATCAGCCCCAGGTGATGGCTAATTGCCGAAGTGAACCTCTGGTTGTTGAGAGCACCCGCTGGCCAGCCCTGGTATTGCAGCCCACAAGGCAGGTGAGTCCCACCACTATTGGCAAGTCCATTCCTGACACACTGCACATTGGTGTTTCCTGCTGACACTAGGGTGAAGTTATACCAGAGATGGGCTGGGATGGGTATTCAATGGTTGTGGAGGGCATGTTCCAAACTGCATCTTCTAAACCCTTCTCTGGTTTTGTCATTGCTCCAGCTTGGACATCCCAATCAGACGGTCTAGAAAACTTAGCTATCAGTCCACCATCTTTAAAAAGAAGTTCGAGTGTGAAGAAATCCTCAGGTATAGATTGCCAGAACATCTCATTACATCCATAATAATACTTTAGATCTTCTAATCAATGTAGAAAGTGTGATTTTATATGTGTTCATCCAACAATGATGTAGATTTATGTGACTTTACTTTAAGCTAATTCATGTTTATATTTGGGGATTTTCCTCTTATTCTAAGCGAATCGGATACAAAATGGATTGTACTTGGCAGATGATTTTCTTGCGTGGCTGGTAATGCTTTTCTACTGTATCAAATCAGCTGGCAACTTATGTTATTATTCACAGCACAACGCAGTCCATATAGAGACAGATCTTCTATCAGTCGTAGCTCTGATGTTATAGATGCTAGTGTGCCCAAAGAACTGCCCAGACCAGACCTGACTATCATCGAGGTGTTTAAACTTCTGTCTGATGATGACTGGTAAGCAACCAGAAAGTATTGCTGTGTTTTTTTTTTTTTTAATTTGTTTTTATTTTAGTTTTTTTTTTTTTTTTTTATTTATGTTTGACAAAAAGGACAGGGCTTGTCTAGATTTGATGGTCACTACAATATCAGACAATGCTTGGGAAAGTCTTAAAATATACATACAATTCAAAACTTTTTATGTTTGATTTAATAGGGAAAGTTTAATAACTCAGTCAAGATATTTTGTTTTTTTTCTGTCTGTGTCCTGCTGGGGGAATTTTTTGTCACATCCTATATAAGAGACACAAAAGAAAATTAAATAAAATCTTACCAAAGTTGTGGGAATTTCTACAGTAGACAGTTGTCAGTGGATCATTTTGTCTGAATTTGAAGATTTCCCCTCACCTCTTTCCTCTCCTGACCACTAACATTCTGGATTTCCACGTTTTCTGTTAGTTACAGTGGGCACCAGGACAAGTAAAGGGTTGAATCTCTTTAGGTGGGATTTGGACAACAAAAACAACCTGATAGTATCTAACCCTTCTCTATTGTATCCAAAACTAAAGCTTTACATTACATACACTTTACTTTTCAAAGATTTTTGAGTGTTGCAATGTAAAATAACAAATGGTATAAAACGGGTACAATAAAAAAAGTAAAGCATGGATAACGGGATTATAGCTTTTAACACAAAAACCTCATAACTAGCCCAAATGGTCATAAAACTAAACACAGTGTTTTCCAACCGAGGTAAGGTCAGAAAGTACGCAAATACAATAACGTGAAGGCACATAATGCAGTAGGAAAAGTGTTGCCTATGTAGCTGTAGACCCTGAGAGAGAAAATGAAAGAAGAAGAAAAGGAAGGGATAGAGCTCCAACTACCAGAACAAGGGCGCCACACACTAGATAAGAGGAAAGGAGGAGGAGAGCAGCAAAAAAACACCACATAAGGCAGCCGAAGTGAGGGAAAAGGGGGAACATAAGGGACAGGAGGAGGAGGGAAAAAAAAGAGCTTGTGTGGGGAGAAAAGAAGGGAAGAAAAAGTATCCGTTACGGTTCAATTTTTCTCTCCCTAGATCAGGTTGCATTAATAGTCATAATAATTAATAGTCAGGCAGGGAACAATTTATACCTATATGAACGTAAAATTTTATCCAAGGGTCCCAAATCTTTAGGCGCTTGGAGTGGGCGTCTTTATGGATGGACGTGAGCTTTTCTTGTAACATAGTTTCTATGAGGTGCTGTTTTAACCTTCGCAAAATTGAAGAAATGGCTGGTGCCAGGTCTTAGCTATGGTCTGCCGATCTGCCAAGAAGACAAACTCCACCAGCTTCTTTTGAGCTTTGGTCAAGGGTGGGATGGACTTGTGCAGCAAGCCTTTCCAAGGGTTGCGTGTTAAGGTTATGGACAGGACTGATCGAATCCGAGCATAGACCTGGGTCAAAATTCTTATAACTTTCGGGCAGGACCACCAGACATGGAGGAGGATGACAGGCTCCCTACAACTCCGAAAACAAAAGGAAAAGACAGAGGGAAAAAACTTTGCCACCCGTACCGGGGTCATGTACCAATGAGAGAGTAACTTGAAAGCATTTCCTGAGGTGAAAATATTCCAGGGCATTTGCAAGATTTCAGCCAGATCTGGTTTCAGGTGGCCTGGTCTAGAGTTTTGCATATGTTGTTTTCTCACTTAGAAACATAAGAGAGCTTACGAGAACCGTGGGCATCCGTAAGTGAACCATAAAGATCTGAGACTACTCCTTTTGAGAACAGGTGCCGAAAGGAGTTGAAGTGCTTGGAGGAATCCAATTAGAATGTAAGCAGGGAATGCACACGGTTCCGTAATTGAGTGTATCGATTTGTAGCAGGTATTTGCAAGTTCTCCCTTTGAATAGTCAAAGGATTTTAAACTATCCAGAAGCTTGTAAATATATTTGGTCCCTTTTGCATGACACCAACGGGGCATCGGAGAGCTGTTGGGTTATTGTAGGCAGGGGGAAATTGGGGGGTGGCAAGAACACCAGACAAGGGCAGATGGGATGAGATCAGCCTAGCTGAGTCCCACAGATGCAGTGATACATTCACTTGAAAGCCAAACTACATTGAAAGATTTTCATTGGATGCTTACATTGGTCCAGCTTGGACCAATGTAAGTATGCATATATAACACCTGGGGGACCATTGGGGAAGCTGGCAATCATTGTAGTAAATGACTACCACAGTGAAAGACTCAATTTTCTAAGTTCTGTGAGTAGCTTCCCCCTGCACATTGACCACAGAAGGTCATTCCCTTAGCACCACCTCCATTCACCTTGAGGGGAAGCCACACAAGACTTGATCAGGACCGAAAAAACTCCTGTGACTGTCAGATTCCCCAGCATCATTTAACTTTGAGATATGCATGCTTACATTGTGCCAAACTGGACCAGTCTAAGTATGTAATAAAGATTGTACCTTGCTTCAGCTTGAAATTATGCAATGGTATATGGAACCAGAGCAAAGTGATTATACCCTAATGAAGACTAGAGGGAGAATGTCCATGCAGGCCTGGTAAGGTACCTTAAAGATATGACGATTAATGGGGGCCATGCAAAGGACAAATTTATATACAATTGTGTTGTTGATAGGCCACCATAAAGCTAAAGTCAAACCAATGGTCTGGTGGAATAGTTGGCTCTGCAAAATACTCTTAAGAAGGGAGCTTAGCTAAACTCTACATTGTGCTATCTCTTTTGTGTAGACTGATGAACCAAAGGCATCACAAGTTTGGCAGCTATTGAAACTTGTGAGCCTGTGAGTGTCAGTGTGCACAATAAAGCACATGGGTGATCAGTGGGAATGGAGAGACTGCAAAAGAAGGGGAAGGAACAGGTAGCTATCTTGCAATATTCTGTTGCTGCCTAAGAGTCTCCAAGCAGTATAAAAAACCATGAGGTTTAGCATTTACCTAAAACTAAAATATTACTAAGTGGTGGCCTGACCATTTAAATGTTTTCTAATAATTGAGGTCTTCTATTTGATGCAAATATTTACAGGGAGAAGAAAATCGAGGGTCTGAATCTGGTACGATCGCTGTCCATCTTTCATTCCGATATCATTAATGAGAGGCTCCATGAGCTCAAGATTGCAGTTGCACAAGAGGTAAGGGGTTGTATTGGAAGGTATGCAGCTAGGTGCTGTCTGGCATTTGAAGATAATATGTGATCTGTACATATAAATTGGTAAATGACCTCAATGAGCACTGATTTCATATTTCTAGAAGCCAGCTTATGCCAAGATCATTACACAGATAAAACACACATATGTATTTACAGTATATACTACAATATATACAGCTAACTTCCTAGAGAGCCTTTTATTCTATCAGTGTAGTGATTGATCCCTAGTGATTTTAGTAGAATGACGGAGATACTAAAAATATGCCTGTGTGGTCCCGCTATTAGTTCTTTAAAGTGGTTGTAAACCCCAAACATGAAATATGAACAAAGTATATCCCTCTATAGCAGGGCTTGAAAAAGCCGCTCGCCAAATGCAAGGAGAAACTCCTCTGTGGCGAGCGGCTGCGAGCAGTGAGCACAGATGAAGCATGGAGCGACTGCACCTGTGCTCCAAACCTCGTTGTGAAGCCGTGTTCCGGTTTCCAACTTCCGGTTTCTGGCTTCTGCGGCACCGCCGCTGAGGGGACAGGTGCAGGAGAGGTCCGCTCTACTCCGCTGAGAGGAGAAACCCTCTCCACCGCCGTGGAGGACTCGGGGGGAAGTAAGTACTGTATACAACATGTCATATCACTATAATGGAGTACAGGGGAGCTGGGATATACATTACTGTATACATGTCATATCACTATAATGGAGTACAGGGGAGGGGGGATATACATTACTGTATACATGTCATATCGCTATAATGGAGTACAGGGGAGCTGGGATATACATTACTGTATACATGTCATATCACTATAATGGAGTACAGGGGAGCTGGGATATACATACTGTATACATGTCATATCACTAGAATGGAGTACAGGGGAGCTGGGATATACATTACTGTATACATGTCCTATCACTAGAATGGAGTACAGGGGAGCTGGGATATACATTACTGTATACATGTCCTATCACTATAATGGAGTACAGGGGAGGAGGGATATACATTACTGTATACATGTCCTATCACTATAATTGAGTACAGGGGAGCTGGGATATACATTACTGTATACATGTCATATCACTATAATGGAGTACAGGGGGGGGGATATACACATACTGTATACATGTCATATCACTATAATGGAGTACAGGGGGGGGGGATATACATTACTGTATACATGTCATATCACTATAATGGAGTACAGGGGAGCTTGGATATACATTACTGTATACATGTCATATCACTATAATGGAGTACAGGGGAGCTTGGATATACATTACTGTATACATGTCATATCACTATAATGGAGTACAGGGGAGGGGGATATACATTACTGTATACATGACATATCACTATAATGGAGTACAGGGGAGGGGGATATACATTACTGTATACATGTCATATCACTATAATGGAGTACAGGGGAGGGGGGGATATACATTACTGTATACACGTCATATCACTATAATGGAGTACAGGGGAGCTGGGATATACATTACTGTATACATGTCATATCACTATAATGGAGTACAGGGGAGGGGGGATATACATTACTGTATACATGTCATATCGCTATAATGGAGTACAGGGGAGCTGGGATATACATTACTGTATACATGTCATATCACTATAATGGAGTACAGGGGAGCTGGGATATACATACTGTATACATGTCATATCACTAGAATGGAGTACAGGGGAGCTGGGATATACATTACTGTATACATGTCCTATCACTAGAATGGAGTACAGGGGAGCTGGGATATACATTACTGTATACATGTCCTATCACTATAATGGAGTACAGGGGAGGAGGGATATACATTACTGTATACATGTCCTATCACTATAATTGAGTACAGGGGAGCTGGGATATACATTACTGTATACATGTCATATCACTATAATGGAGTACAGGGGGGGGGATATACATACTGTATACATGTCATATCACTATAATGGAGTACAGGGGGGGGGGATATACATTACTGTATACATGTCATATCACTATAATGGAGTACAGGGGAGCTTGGATATACATTACTGTATACATGTCATATCACTATAATGGAGTACAGGGGAGCTTGGATATACATTACTGTATACATGTCATATCACTATAATGGAGTACAGGGGAGGGGGATATACATTACTGTATACATGACATATCACTATAATGGAGTACAGGGGAGGGGGATATACATTACTGTATACATGTCATATCACTATAATGGAGTACAGGGGAGGGGGGGATATACATTACTGTATACACGTCATATCACTATAATGGAGTACAGGGGAGCTGGGATATACATTACTGTATACATGTCCTATCACTATCTGCATGAGTAACGTCTGGCAAGTTTTCCTGACCCCAAGAGAAAAATGGTGACGGGGATGGAGCTCCAGCAGACTGCCTGTGGTTGACAGCCTCAGGTCTGTTACTGTGAGCTGTGTGGAGGAGGTGTATCATTCCTCCCCCTTCTAGTTTAGTAGAGTTCTGCTGTGCTGAGGAGTACAAAAGACTGATATCAGATTAAAGTCCTTTTGCCAGCTGAATGCAAAATTTACATTTAAAAGAGAAGTTCAGGATTAAAAAAAAAAAAACAAACATCCATACTCTCCTAGGTGGATGAAACTTTGGTCCAATGCTGCATCTGTCCCCCACCTCCTTTAAGACCAAGAACTGAGCGATGAAAGATCGCCGATAGCTCAGTTCTTGGTCTTTAGTCTGCAAAGGGCCAGGGACTGTCACTCACTGGAGTACTGGGCTAAGGAGGGGGCGGGAAGGGTCGGCTCTAGCTCTCAGCAGCTCTCAGAGTCTGAGCCAGCTGCCGATCTAGCTTCTGGGTGGATCCCAACAATATGGTCAGGATCCAGAGCAGCTCTGTGATGTCAGCCAACAGTGGGCTTTTTCCTGCTGACGGTTAAAAATGTCCCAAGAATGCAATTCATTCTCCAGTCCATAGGAAACGTAGGGCCAAAAGAGCTTTGTCCTACTTCTCCTTTAAAGTATGACTGTACATATTTGGAGTGATAGAGGGTTAGACCTACCGTCCTGTTTGTATTGATGTCGGTATCCCTAATAGTGGGATTCTATCTTGTCCTTATCACCAGTGTCACTGAGACAGAGAAAGAAGGTGAATCCAAAGGTTTGAGCAGCCACCAGAACAGGAATAGAAGAGATATCTTCTAATGGGGACATTTGTTTCATTGACTAATGTCTAAGATGGAATATCCTTCACATTGGAATGAAATCCTCTCACCTTCGGTTGTGTTCATTGAACAGGAAGCAAAGGGAAATCTCCACAGTGGGACACAGATGGTTGAACAAAAAAAAAACCCCTCAGTGTACCCAGGTTTAAGTAGGAAACCACCAAGATAATCTCACATGGTTACAGACTTTTTACTGCCCAGTGTTCCTTCTGATAACCGAACCTTAATTATTTTAATTAGCACAAAGAACAGGTCAGAACAGTGGACAATGTAGATAATATCTCCTCAATAGAATGGTAAAGCCTTCAGCCAGTTAGTAGTTGGTCACCAAGGATACTAAAGGGCAAGGATTATAGGACTCCATGTGAATTCTATAGCAGTTAGTGAGGGAGAATCTGCTTTATGAGGCATAGATGGCCAACAAACAAACCGCTGATAGTAGCTTTTAACTAGAGATGAGCGAATCGAACATGACGAAGTAGAATTCGTTTAGAAGATTAGGAAAAATTCGATTCGCGCCGAATCCGAAAATTAGCAAACTTAGGATGCACGAATCGAATTTTCCCAAAAATGGCGGCGACATGTGTGGCGACGGAGCGGGGATCTCTGGGAAGGCGCGCAGACAAGGCGCGCTGACCCATAATGCATTCATTCATGACATGTGATCGCATTAGCCAATCAGCAGCCAGCCAGCCAGCACTGTGTAATGGTGGAGCTATAAATCGCGGCCATCTTAGAATTCTCCATTAGCCTCCGGTCATTCAAGAGAGACAGACCTGTCTGTATTAGGGACAGAGTTAGGGCCACAGAGACTTTAGGGCCACAGAATCGTTACTCAGGGACACAGAATCGTTACTCAGGGACACAGAATCGTTACTCAGGGACACAGAATCGTTACTCAGGGACTCCCACACAGAATCGTTACTCAGGGACAGACACAGAATCGTTACTCGGGGACACAGAATCGTTACTCGGGGACACAGAATTGTTACTCGGGGACACAGAATTGTTACTCGGGGACACAGAATTGTTACTCGGGGACACAGAATCGTTACTCGGGGACACAGAATCGTTACTCGGGGACACAGAATCGTTACTCGGGGACACAGAATCGTTACTCGGGGGACACAGAATCGTTACTCGGGGGACACAGAATCGTTACTCGGGGGACACAGAATCGTTACTCGGGGGACACAGAATCGTTACTCGGGGGACACAGAATCGTTACTCGGGGGGACACAGAATCGTTACTCGGGGGACACAGAATCGTTACTCGGGGGACACAGAATCGTTACTCGGGGACACAGAATCGTTACTCGGGGACACAGAATCGTTACTCAGGGACACAGAATCGTTACTCAGGGACACAGAATCGTTACTTTCTGCTTCACAACCACTATTGTACGTTCAAAGAGTTAAATCCTGTTTTATGTTTGGGGTGCTTATTGAATTAAAGAGTATGTCAGACAACACGCAGAGGAGTGGCAGAGGAGGCAATGTTTCAGGAGCGAGCAGACGTGGCAGCAGAGGAAGGGGTCGAGGCAGCACTAGTCGCAGCCAGAGGCCAGTGCTCCCGGTGTCATCCAGCGGTCGTGTGTCTCCACCGACAACCCTGCCGTCATCGATTGGTTGACTCGGTCGTCTTCCTCTTCCCAGGTCACCTCTGACACCTACAGCCAATGGTCGGTGGGTACGTCAGACACAACCGTTAGTTGGCATGGCCCGGGAGCAAGCCCACTGAAATCACGTGTCCTCTACCTGCCCCTGTCCTTTGGTGTTCCCTCACCAAGCGAAGTATCGCATGCTGTGGGCTCAGCCCCACTGTACAGTGAGGAAGAGCTAACAGAGTGCGGTCAGGAACGGGGGGAGACATCCGCCTCTTCAGCAGCCAGGCGAAGAAGTACTGGCGAGGAGAGTGGCTCGGTAGCCGGTCTAGAGACAGGTCTGTCTCCTGACCCACACGCAGCCGAGGGGGCTAGTAGTGAGGCGGAGACCCTAATTGATGATGATGAGGCTGATCGCACTTGGCAGCCTCGTCGTCATCAGGCTATTGCTTCCGCATCATCAGGAGAAGAGGGTGCCAGCTTGCCAGCGAGCAAAACAGTCGGTGGGTTGCCCAGGAGGCAGCAGGGTCGCAGCAGTGTCAGTGGAGGCAAACGGCCACGGAGTAGAGCACCAGCTCCACTGCAGCCTACCACCACGGCCAGTAGTGGTGCCGGTGTGCACGGAGGAAGTAGCAGTCAGCCAGTGAGGAGTAGCGGGGGCAAAGTTTCCTACTCGGCGGTGTGGCAATTTTTCGTCAAGCCGCCCGAGGAAGTAAACGTAGCCGTATGTCGACTATGTGGCCAGAAAGTCAAGCGTGGCCAGGGGGCCCATGTTGGGACTACAGCTTTGCGTCAGCATATGCAGCGTCGCCATTCGGTGGCCTGGGAAAACTGTGATAAAGATACGGCGGTTCTGCCTGCCCCAGC